CCCGTACGACGATCAGTGTTCCACTGTGTCTGGAGGACACAGTGGGCACCGGATCGCGGTGCTACGCGCTCCCAGGGAGCACGCACGAGCAGGGTGCGGGGAGGCCATTTATAAAGGACCACCCGACCCTGCACTGCCACCGTCCAGCTGTTTATATACAACGGCCGGACGGGAGGTGGTTATTGCAAAAAATACACAATACATAGCCCAATTTTTTTGATAAAATATAAAAGATGATGATATGACGAGTAAATAGATACCAAACGTGTCCCTCTTTAACAGCTTAAGGACCGCCCTACAGCAGATATACTCATATATATATATACGTGATTTTGCATTTCCAGGTAAGGGGCGCGCGCCCTACCCACGGATGTCAATCGCTGGCGCACGGTGATTACCGAGCATCTCCAACGGGGAGGAAGATTGTTTTGTTTGCTTCCTCCTTGTCAGCTGAAGCACACTGCTTGGGATGGCTGTGTACAGTACAGCCATCCTGATTAGAGTGCTTACAGTGAAGAACACACCCCCGCCCCCTAGTAAAACATTCCCAGCACACAGTTAACCCTTTGATCGCCCCACGTTAACCCCTTCCTGCCCAGTGCCATTAGTTCAGTGCCAGTGCTTTTTTTTTTTTTTTTAGCACTGATCACTGTATTGGTGTCACTGGGGTGTCAGTGACACCAAGTTAGTTCCTTCCCAGTGTCAGAATGTCTGCCGCAGTCCCGCTAAAAGTCGCTGATCGCCGCCATTACTAGTAGAAAATAAATAATCCCAGTATCTATACCGACATTTGTAAACGTTATAACTTTCACGTAAACCAATTAATTTACACATATTGGGATTTCTTTTAGCAAGGACATGGAGCAGAATACATTTTGGCCTAAATTTATGATGAAATTTGATTTTTTAGAACATTTTTTACTGGACATGTTTAATACAGGTAGCAAAAAGTCAAACATATTTTTTTTTTATTTTCAAAATTGTCAGGAATTTTTTTGTTTATAGTGCAAAGGATAAAAACCGCAGAGGCAATCAAATTCCACTGAAAGAAAGCTCCATTTGTGGGAAAAATGTTAATTTGAGTGCAGCGTTGCATGACTGCGCAATTGTCAGTTAAAGTAACAGCGCCGTATCACAAAAAATGGCCTGATCAGGAAGGGGGGGGGGGGGGGAATCCTCTGGAGGGCGAGGGGTCAAACAAGCGTTTTTTAAGTGTAAGCCTGGGTTCACATATATGCGGTGCGGTATATCGCATGTGATTGGCACAGGAACCGCACCGCATTCCTGTGCAAATCACATGGGATTTGTGTGCGGTGCAATTGAAGCTGTACATTTTGGGTCCGCACTAGAATCGGATCGCACGGGTATTCACATCTATGCAATCCGATTCTTCACATCGCACCGCATTTTGCAGACCACTTGCAGGGTGTCGTTAGCTTAACATACACACCCGCAGCGGTTCGCATGAATGGGGTGCAATTCTGATGTGGTGAGGAATAGGCAAAGAAAACGCTGCAAATTCCGCACCGCATCAGTGTGAACTAGGGATAAAAATACCAGTGCCGGGTCACAAAGAAACGCAAAAATGGCTTTGGCAGAGAAAAGGGTTAAAGCACATTGAGGAGACTTCTCCATTTGGCGGCCTCGTACATGCGTCTCCGTGTCGTTTTCACCTCATGGCGTATCTCTCTTATCTGTACAGCAGCGGTGGCCATTTTTGTGGCCCTGACCAGATTACAGCGAATGGAGCCTTCCTTTTGTCGGCCCCGTACAGCTGTCTCCCGTGTCGTTTTCACCTCATGGCATATCTCTCTTATCTGTACAGCAACGGTGGCCATTTGGTGGGCCTGACCAGATTACAGCGAATGGAGCCTCCCGTTTGGCGACCCCGTACTACCGTCTCCTGTGTCGTTTTCACCTCATGGCGTATCTCTCTTATCTGTACAGCAGCAGCGGCCATTTTGTGGGCCTGTCCAGATTACAGTGAATGGAGCCTCCCGTTTGGTGGCCCCGTACATCCGTCTCCCGTGTCGTTTTAACCTCCTAGCGTATCTCTCTTATCTGTAAAGCAACGGCGGCCATTTTGTGGGCCTGACCAGATTACAGTGAATGGAGCCTCCCGTTTGGCGACCCCGTACATCCATCTCTTGTGTCGTTTTCACCTCATGGCGTATCTCTCTTATCTGTACAGCAACGGCAGCCATTTTGTGGCCCTGACCAGATTATAGTGAATTGAGCCTTCCATGTTTTTCCAACATTTGTTTACAGCTCTGTGCGGGTTAAAGGCTTGCAGGGCCGATGGGAACAATCGTTTTATTAGGCCGTGATCTCATTCTACCAGAGTTACTGTATGAGGTAACGCTTCCACAGTCCTTCGCGGCCCGTCCTCGGCTGTTTTGGAACGGAGTTTTATAGTGATGGTGAGCGGAACATTTTTTTTTCCTCAGAAGCTCTTTTATTTCATGTGGATTAGGCCTAACAAGACGTCTTGAGGCCGGGATTTCTCCTGACCGCCATGACTTGGCAGCGCTGCGTTCCATGGCTGCTCTCCTTTGGTTTCATTTGGCTGCTTTGACAATGATGTGCGATCCTTTTAAATCCTATGTGACTCTTCACAACTGTGCGCTGCGTTTTGAAAAGTCCCGCTTGCTGCATCTTTAGCGCAGTTTTCAAAATCGCACCAAAAAGGCATGACCCCATTGAAAATGTATAATTAACCCCTTGATGCCGAGCGCACGGAAATATGCGGCCTTTCGGTGTCTGGGCCTTGACGCTGAGCAGCCGCATATTTGCGTGCAATTAGAAAATACATATGTGCTGAGAGCACGCTCCCAGCACATATGTATGTGGCTCACGGAAAGATCCCGATCTTCTTTTCTGATCATGTGACCGCCGTGACGGCGAATTATAAGCGCTTGTTTATTTTAAGCGCTTATAAGCGCTTGTTTATTTTAAAATTATGAGTGGTTAGTTAATGCTTTTCATGTGCGTTTACATTCGTTGGGGGGGGAACATTTTTTTTTTTTGGGGGGGGTTGTGTGTTTTTGGATGTAACTGTTTATTTTTTTGCAGTAAAAGGTCATAATGTTCTGGATGTTACTGAAAAAAATGGTGGAAAAAAACATGATTGGTCTGCAGTTCTGATTGGACGATGTTGAAAAGTATTCAGCTTGGGGACCTTTCTACAAGGGGCAAGTCTGCAAATGCTGCGTGCGTCCCTCGCAGTTAACTATGTATATCAGGGACGGGTGAAACAGGATTTCCAGTCACTTTGTAAACAAAGTGCGCGTCACTCGCCGCCTCCTCTATGCCGCGTAAACAAACAGCTCTGCACTCCTTATTATACAAAACCGCAGAGTTTACTCTCATGATAACCGTACAGGAGAACGCACAGAGATTGTAGTACATTACGCTCTGCGACTAGCATTACAATAAACTCTGCGGTTTTCCATATTAACCCCTCGCCCTCCAGAGGATTTACCCCCCCTTACTGACCAGACCATTTTTTTGTGATACGGTGCTACATTGTTTTAGCTGCCAATTGCGCGGTCATGCAATGCTGCAACCAAATGAAATTTATGTCCTTCCCCCCCCCCCCCCCCAAATGGAGCTTTCTTTCGGTGGTATTTGATCACCTCCGCGGTTTTAATTTTTTGCGCTATAAACAAAGAAAGACTGACCATTTTCAAAAAAAAAAAAAAACTATATTTTTAACTTTCTGCTATTAAATATGTTCAGTAAAAAAAAAAATCAAATTTCATCATAAATTTAGGCCAAAATGTGTTCTGCTCCATGTCTTTGCTAAAAACAAAATCACAATACGTGTAAATTAACTAGTTTACGTGAAAGTCATAGCGTCTACAAATGGCGGTATAGATATTGGGCTTTATTATTTTATTTTTTTTTATACTAGTAATGGAGGCAATTAGCGACTTATTGTGGGACTACGGCGGGCATTCTGACACTGGGGGGGCTAACTTCCTCTGACATCCCCAGAGATACCAACACAGTGATCAATGCTGGTAAAGAGCACTGACACTGTACTCATGGCACTGGACAGGAAGGGGTTAACATCTGGGGCGATCAAAGGGTTAACTGTGTGCTGTGTGTGTTTTGCTATGTAAGCATGCTGCTTTGTATTGCTCTGCTGTGCTGACGGGAGAGATCTGTGTTGTTTACATACAGACCTGTCCCCTGTCAGTGTTCCTCTGTGAATCTCCGGCCGGGACCTGGTGATCAACGGCTGTAGCTGCCAATGGCATCGCGCGCCCCCTACCCTGACATACAAAATCACGTTTATATATGGGATTTTGCGCAGCCCTGCTGCCCTGTTGCAGTACTTCTTCTATAGGACAGAGGGGAAGCGGCTAAGGAGTGCAGAGCTGTTTGGTCATACCTACTGTGTATGATAGCTGTACCAAAAGTAATGCAAACTTCAAATGTCACATGTTGGTAGAGTAACTTCCTTTATAGTAATTCGTCTTCTTCTTCATTGCTGGTAAATAATGGATTCCAAGCTGAAGCAACATGCTGTCATTGAGTTATTGATGAAGGAGGAGGTGCAGGATGTCTGACATCCACAGAAGGCTACAGAATGTTCACCATTGATGAGCAATGTCTTTGTGACTTTTGTCAGTGGTGTCATCTCTGTAAACATTCTGTTGCCTTCTGTGGATATTAGACAGCCTGCACCCCTCCTTTGTGAAGAACTCAATGATGGCATATTGTATCTGCTTGGAATCCATTCTTTTCTTGCAGTGAAAAAGAGGAAGAAAAAGAGTTACTATAGACAGGGGTGTCAAACTCGATTTCACCACAGGGCGCTTTGGCAGAGTGCAGGGGTGCGCTATATACAGAGAGCAGAGCTCAGGACTGCACTATGTACAGAGTGCAGAATTCAGGGTTGCGCCATGTGCAGAGTGCAGGTGTGCGCTGTGTACAGAGAGCAGAGTTCAGGGGTGCGCTGTGTACAGAGAGCAGAGTTCAGGGGTGCGCTGTGTACAGAGAGCAGAGTTCAGGGGTGCGCTGTGTACAGAGAGCAGAGTTCAGGGGTGCGCTGTGTACAGAGAGCAGAGTTCAGGGGTGCGCTGTGTACAGAGTGCAGAGTTCAGGGTTGCGGTATATACAGAGTTCAGGGGTGCAGAATGCAGAGTTCAGGGGTGCGCTATGTACAGAGTGCAGAGTTCAGGGGTGCGTTATGTTCAGAGGTGCGCTATGTGCAGATTGCAGAGTTCAGGGGTGCGCTGTGTACAGAGTGCAGAGTTCAGGGGTGCGCTATGTTCAGGGGGGACTATGTACAGAGTGCACAGTTCAAGGATGTGCTATGTACGGAGTGCAGAGTTCAGTGGTGCGTTATGTACTGTACAGATTGCAGAGTTCAGGGGTGCTCTATGTTCCGGGGTGCACTTTGTACAGAGTGATGAGCTCAGGGGTGCACTATATACAGAGAGATGAGTTCAGTTGTGCTGCATGACTAATGATGGGGACACTGATGGAGGGACCTCTAATGATGGGGACACCGATGGAGGGACCTGTAATGATGGGGACACTAATGGGGGACCTCTAATGATGGGGACACTGATGAGTGACCACTAATGATGGGGGCACTGATGAGGGACCTCCGAATGATGGGGACACTGATGGAGGGACCTCTAATGATGGGGACACTGATGGAGGACCTTTAATGGTGGGGGCACTGATGAGGGACCTCCGAATGATGGGGACACTGATGGAGGGACCTCTAATGATGGGGACACTGATGAAGGGACCTCTAATGATGGGGACACTGATGGAGGGACCTCTAATGATGGGGACACTGATGGAGGGACCTCTAATGATGGGGACACTGATGGAGGGACCTGTAATGATGGGGACACTGATGGGGGACCTCTAATGATGGGGACACTGATGGAGGGACCACTAATGAGAGAGACCACTAATGATGGGGACACTGATGAGTGACCACTAATGATGGGGGCACTGATGGAGGACCTCTAATGATGGGGACACTGATGGAGGGACCTCTCATGATGGGGACACTGATGGGGGACCTCTAATGAGAGAGACCACTAATGATGGGGACACTGATGGAGGGACCTCTAATGATGGGGACACTGATGGAGGGACCTGTAATGATGGGGACTGATGGGGGACCTCTAATGATGGGGACACTGATGGGGGACCTCTAATGATGGATGGGGACACTGATGGGGGACCTCTAATGATGGGGACACTGATGAGTGACCACTAATGATGGGGACACTGATGGAGGACCTCTAATGGTGGGGACACTGATGAGGGACCTCGTAATGATGGGGACACTGATGGAGGGACCTCTAATGATGGGGACACTGATGAGTGACCACTAATGATGGGGACACTGATGGAGGACCTCTAATGGTGGGGACACTGATGAGGGACCTCGTAATGATGGGGACACTGATGGAGGGACCTCTAATGATGGGGACACTGATGGAGGGGACCTGTAATGATGGGGACACTGAGGGGGACCCTCTAATGATGGGGCACTGATGAGGGATCGCTAATGATGGGGACACTGGTGAGTGACCACTAATGATGGGGCACTGATGGGGGACCTCTAATAATGGGGACACACTGATGGAGGGACCTCTAATGATGGGGACTCTGATGGAGGGACCTCTGGGAATGATGGGGGACCTCTAATGATGGAGGATGACCTCTAATGATGATGGGGACTCTAATGATGGGGGACCTCTAATGATTGGGACACTGATGGGGGACCTCTACACTGATGGAGGGACCTCTAATGTTGCGGACAATTGAATGATGATCTGGGACACTGATGGAGGGACCTCTAATTATGGGGACATTGATGGGGACCTCTAATGATGAGGACACTGATGGGTGTGCATCAGTGCATCTTTTGAGTGACAGACGCACCATTGAAGTTAATGCACGTGTTGAATTGTGTGAAAATCACCCACGCTCGCCCATGCGAGTTCCCGTCATGTGAAGTGAGAATGGGGCCTAAGAGTTAGAGGAGACCTTGATCGGGGGCCAGTTCACACCAGAACGCACATTTCCTGTGCATTTCCCACGCATGCTCACTGTACACATTCAGCAGTGCTGAAACTGGTGAATGTGACAAATCTGATGTCATCCCTGCCCGGCCAATGACAGTGGCTGACGCTCAAGACTCAGAAGATGTCAGTGGTTGGGCGGGGAGCAGAGGGACGCTGCGTTGCTGGAACTGAGGTGAGTATAGTTCTGCTTTAAGGGCCCATTCACACTATATACAGTTGGTTGCATTTTTGACTGCACTTCAAATGCATAGACAGTCCATAATCCAGGTTACCCTATGGGAATATTTCACATTATTGCAGTGCAGTGAACAAAAGTACAGCAAGCTGCATTTTCCCACTCTGCAAATGCACAGAAACGTGTGCAAACGCATGTAAATGCACCGCAACACAGTGCAGTGCTCATAAAAGAAGAAAGAAGGTGGAAGTATCCTCAAAGGAAGAGCAAGCTTAGGAAAAATGCACCACAAATACGCACAAAGACGCGCATCCAAAAAATTAGCCGTTTCCGGTGCGAATGAGCCCTTAATATTAACCCGATGTTTAAAAAATTGAAAAAAAAAAATAGTTCTGAACACACAATAGTTTCTTTTTAAATAATAAGATTTGATGGTCACCAGCTGATCCCATTATTGGATTTAATGAAGAGACGTGAGAAGATGCAGCTTCCGAAAAACAAGCGCCGTCTTCCGTTGTCATTTTCCTGCAGCGCCGTACAGCATTTCTTCAGAAACACGATCTCCTCTTAAAAAGGCAGCAAAAAAATGTAACTTTAGCGACCGCATAGTTTACTGATCTGCCGGCCCAAATATGGGCAAAGTCTGGGGAGCCCCCCCCCCTTAGGGTGTCCTCGCTTACACCCCACCCCCCCAGCCCTGCGATATTGTTCTCTATCTGGCAGTTGTATCAATGGCAGTTTATCCCGGCTTAGCTGCAGTCAAAAGCCGCTCTCTTAATTACGTGTTCATTAAACACAGCTGTAAAAATGTAATCAGCATATAATTATAGCCCTTCAGATAACAAGTCATTAGGGTGTCTAAACACTGCTACAGTGGCAATTACTCAGAGAGTTGGCCCCTCCGGGGTGTGTTTACACAACAGTGCTAATTACTTCTGCTGCAACAAACTGACATTTTTAGGGCCATTTAGGAAAATTGGAAGACATTTATTTCAAAGCCGTTAAAATTGGTCACGTATATAAGGCTAGGTTCATATCTGTACACAATGGGAATGCATGCAAAATCACGCACTTTCCTGACCAGGGGCGGACTGACCATTTGGAAACTCGGGCACTGCCCGAGGGCCCGGGGTCAGTAGGGGGTCCCATGAGATGCCCCTGGTACCTTTTTCGTAGGCTTTTTTGAGTTTGGACAAGGACACTGGGGCCCCATGATCCCCTATTGCCCGGGGGCCCCATGAGTTGTCAGTCCACCCCTGTTGCTGACGCATACAGAAACGTGCTGCATAATAGTAGACATGCAATGGTGCTATTAATTGGTAAGCAGGTGCATAGATGACTCGATTTTCTTGCCTTCCACCACAAGAAAATCGCTCAATTCCCCCATTAACACAGTCAGTGTTGCTGGAGGAATTGAACGATTTTTATTGCCTTCGCATCTGTACACATTGGGAATGCATGAAAAGTCGCACACTTTCTGACGCATAGAGAAACGCGCTGCTTTTTAGTAGACATGCAATGGTGCTATTAATTGGTAAACAGCGCATAGATGACTCGATTTTCTTGCCTTCCACCACAAGAAAATCGCTCAATTCCCCATTAACACAGTCAGTGTTGCTGGAGGAATTGAACGATTTTTATTGCCTTCGCATCTGTACACATTGGGAATGCATGAAAAGTCGCACACTTTCTGATGCATAGAGAAACGCGCTGCTTTTTAGTAGACATGCAATGGTGCTATTAATTGGTAAACAGCGCATAGATGACTCGATTTTCTTGCCTTCCACCACAAGAAAATCGCTCAATTCCCCCATCAACACAGTCAGTGTTGATGGGGGAATTGAGCGATTTTCTTGCCTTCGCATCTGTACACAATGGGAATGTGTGAAATGTCGCACTTTCCCGACGCATAGAGAAACGCGCTGCTCTTTAGTAGACATGCAATGGTGCCAATAATTGGTAAGCAGCGCATAGATGACTCGATTTTCTTGCCTTCCACCACGGGTGAAAGTCAAGAAAATCGCTCAATTTCCCCCATAAACACAGCCAGTGTTGATGGGGGAATTGAGCGATTTTCTTGCCTTCACATCTAATTGGGAATGCGTGAAAAGTTGCACAGTTTCCTGACATATAGAGAAACGCGCTGCTATATAGTAGACATGCAATGGTGCTATTAATTGGTAAACAGCGCATAGATGACTCGATTTTCTTGCCTTCCACCAAAAGAAAATCGCTCAATTCCCCCATCAACACAGTCAGTGTTGATGGGGGAATTGAGAGATTTTCTTGCCTTCACATCTAATTGGGAATGCGTGAAAAGTTGCACAGTATGCTAACGCATAGAGAAATTTGTGTCACTGGGGATGCCAGTGGCAGTTAGTCAGTTCCTCCCCCCCTAATATCAGAATGCCCGTCGCAGTCCTGCTATAAGTCACTGATCGCCGCCATTACTAGTAACAAAAAAAAAAAAATCCCAGTATATCTACCGCCATTTGTAAACACTATAACTTTCACGTAAACCACTTAATTTACACGCATTGGGATTTGTTTTAGCAAAGACATGTAGAATACATTTTGACCTAAATTTATGATGGACATTTTATTTTTTCAAATTTTTTTACTGGACATATTTAATAGCAAAAAGAAAAAAATATGTTTTTTTTTTTTTTTCCAAAATAGTCGATATTTTTTTGTAGCACAACAAATAAAAAACGCACAGGCGATAAAATACCACTGAAAGAGAGCTCCATTTGTAGGACAAAAAGGACATAAACTTCATTTGGGTGCAGCGTTGCATGACCGCGCAATTGTCAGTTAAAGTAACGCAGCGCCATATTGCGAAAAATGGCCTGGTCAGGAAGGGGGGGGATCCTCTGGAGGGCAAGGGGTTAAAGGTTAGAGTTACACAGGAGGTCTGGCGCTAGTATTATTGCACTTGCTCTGATGTTCACGGTGACACCTCACATGTGTGATGCGATCGCCATTGTTGTAACTTCAAACATGATCCCAGATTAACCACCTCAAATGGGATATATATATATATATGTGTATATGTGTGTATATATATATATATATGTGTGTGTGTATGGTGGTACCTAGGTGGTTAACCCCCGGTTCACATCTATGCGACCGTGCGGGCCGCGTTTTGCATGGGCACGAGAGCCCATTCATGCCCTTGACACTCAGGGAAGAAGTCCCTGCACTTCTTTGGAAAACGCAGCCCGCACCTGGAACCTCGGTCCCCAGTACGGTTGAGTTTTCCAGTGCGGGCGGCGTGCCATTAGAACTAATGGCACCCACCTGCGG